ACCACTCTCCACCCCATGCACACAAAGTATTGTTTGCATCAGGGCTTTCTTGGGCACCTCACTAGGTTTTCTTGATAGGGGTTGAGAAAGACAAGATGAATTTTAAGAGAGATTACAAAGAAAATTTAAATTGCATTGGGGAGAGAGTAGGAAAAATAAGGAAAATTAGGAAGGACATTGAATAGGGGGGTTGTATCGGAGCTGAGTCTTAAAGGAAGTTATTCTAAGAGGCAAGTTTGTATGTGTGTATGTGTGTGTATATATGTGTGTGTGTATATGTAGGGAGTGTCGGGAGAGTGCAGTGAATTCCATATATGGAGGACTGCTTATTGAATGGAATGAAGGCTTCCTATCTATAGGATTGAATGCCAAGCTGATAAGAAAGATTGGGTGTAACATAGAGTCCACAATATGAAGTAAGTCAGGAAAAGAAAATGGGAACCATATTGTGGAGAGTTTTAAATAGCAGGCTAAGAAATTTGAATTTAGCCTCTTCCTTTCCCCCCCAGAAAAAATGTCCACAATAACCTATTAAGATCTTCCAACCAATGTGTTGAGGTCAGCCATTTGTCACATTCATAATCCTTATTTGCATTTCAGTCTCTACTTCTTCCAGATAATAACTCTCACCCTGACCTTATTAAAAAGGGCATCTGTTTTAATGGACATTGGCCAATCCAAGCTGCTTTTATTCAACTCAAAGAAGCCCCTATTTTAGTGCCAAGGTTAATCTCAGACAGCTGTTTGTGCAGGCAGATGTACTCTAGGCATGCAACTTCTACTCCTGATAACTGATGTCTGTGGAAAACAACTGGACAATATGGGAGTGCTCTTGACATGCAAGACCACCTTCAAATAGTGGTGATACTTCTTGATAACCTCAAACTCAACTTTGACTCTATCTCCATTTCTTTCCCCCTCATTCAGTCAACAAGTAGTATTAATTTTGTCTTTGACTTAACTCTTGAATCCATCCCTCTTTGCTGTTTTATGGCTACAGAATAAGATCATAATTTGGGATTAGGAAGGTCCCTAAAGGTCATAAAATCCAACCTCCTCATTTTATAGATGTGGAAACAGACCTAGAGAGATTAAATGATGTGCATAGGATCATACAACTAGTAAATGTGAAGCACAATTGGAGCCCAGGTTTTCTTGGCTCTAAGTCTACCATGTTTCCATTGCAAAACAATGCCTGTCCACTTTACCTACAATGTCTAGCTCACTCCACAAATATTGAATGAAAGAGGAAAGAGGGAATGAACTCGCATATTATTACCTCCATTTTATATATAAGCAAACTGCAGCTCAGAAAGGCAGGGTGACAAAAACTTGTAAGTTTTGGGGCTTGGAATCACACTGAAATCTTCTTACTCTAACACCAGTATTCTGGAGTATCTATGAGGACTTTAACTCATGAACTGTTTGCGGGACAGCATGTTGTATGTTCTGCTGACCAGTTTGTTATAGTGCCTATACATTCTGCTGCTACTTTGCAGTGCCAGGGGAAATAAGTGCCTTGGGTTATATAGCACAGAAGGGACTCCCACACAACTAATGAATCCAAGTAGAATGACCTGAGGCTGTGAGGATGGCGCTGGTATCTGCATAATTGATTGTCACCCAGAGTCTCATTATAACTCCAGGGGTCAGATTTTCTGAACCCAGGTTTTTAAAAAGAGGGTTATGAGGAGAGCTGCATTTGGGGATTTCCCTCCCAGAGGAGGAGAAAGGATGTCTTAATGGATGGTGTTACTGGGCTAATAGTGGAATTACAAGAACAAACAATATCTCTTTGCACAATTGAATAAGAAATAATGAAAATATTTCCCCCCAACTTTCTACTACAGAACAAAGCAACTGCTTCGTTGGATCAGACCCAGGGTAAAGAGCCTAGAACATGTTTCTAAAATATCCATTTGCCTTTTTGTTTCTCAATTTCTTCATCTGTAAAACGAGAGGGCCAAATTTAGTGGCCTTCAAGGTTTCCTGTGGTTTTAAATCTATGAATCAATTATCCAAGTCAGTCATTCTCAACCTTTTTGTTCTCAGGTTTTGAAAGAGCTTTTGTTTATTTGGGTTATATGTATTGATATTTACGCTATTTGAATCGGAACATGTTAGTATTATTACAAAAATGCTTTTGACTCCCTGAAAGGATCTCAAGTATCCCCAAGGGTCCCTGGACTAGACTTTGAGAAATGCTGATCTAAGTTATATCGTGGAAGGTTGTGATTCTCCTCCATCAGTCAATCAACGAATTGAACTTGTATCCCCAGTGCCAAGCATAGTGCCTGGCACAGAGAGGGTGTTTAATAAATACTTGTTAATTGACTGAAACAATTATAGTATTCAACTGAACACCTACTATGTGCTAGACATGTGAAAGACACAGAAGAAGCAAAAGATGCTGCTGTGTCTACTCTCCAGGTCTCTACAATCTACCTGGAGAAGCAACACATAGAACGATCAGGGTATAATAATACATCCCTTCCACCACCCTGCGTTCACACAAGCCAGTCCCAGTGCCTGAGATGCACCCTCTCCTTATTTCTACTTCTTAGAATTTTTGTCTTCCTTCAAGTTTCGGCTTAGGAGATGTGACCTCCATCCAGGATTCTCTCCCTTCTTCCCTCAATTTTCCTAGTAGTATAGGAAGTGTACACTTAATTGTGTGCATTCAGCTCTTTGAGGCCCAGAACTATCTTTTTCCAAAAAAATTCTTTTTTACATCTCCAGGACCAAACCCATTGCTTTGTATTGTATTAGGTCTTTTATTTGTTTGGATTGTTGCTTTTTTGGAAGCAATTGGGGTTAAGTGACTTACCCAGGGTCAAACAGCTAGAGTCTGAGGCCAGATTTGAACGGAGGTCTTTGTGACTCCAGGGCCTGTGAGCTTTGTAATATACCATCTCACTGCCTCAGTGGGTGTATAATAAATATTCCTCACATTGTTTGTTCAACAGGAGGCAGTAGCATGTGGTAATGCATTTTATACAGCTGGATGCTACAGCCTCCTATTAGGAGAAGACATTAAATCATAGGTCTTAGAGCTGGAAAGAACCTCAGAGATCTATTAGTCCACTCTTCCATCTTACAAGGGAAGAAACTAGCACTTAGGGCAGTGGAATAGCTTGTGGGAAGTCATACACCTAATTTGGAGAGCACAGGGATTAGGACTGAGCTTTAGGAAGGTGATAGGTAACATGCTTCATCGAGAGTCTTCTGGAATTGTGGTTGGCCATTGTGCTACTCAGAATTCTTGTCTTTCAAAGTTAAAGTCTACAATGTTGCAGCTATTGAATAAATTGTTCTCCTGGTTCCGCTCCCTTAATTGCATCATTTCATGTAAGACTTCCTAGATTTCCTTAAATCATCCCTTTCATCAATTCTTTTTAAAAATTAATTAATACATTTTTAGTTTTCAACATTCAATTCCATAAGCTTTTGAGTTTTAAATTTTCTCCCCCTCCTTCCCCCTTCACTCCCTAAGACAGCATGCAATCTCATATAAGCTCTACATATATATTCCTATTAAACATATTTTCATATTAGTGATGTTGTAAAGAATTAGAACCAATAGAAGAAACCACAAGAAAGAAGAAACAAAACAAAACAGAAGGAAAAAAGAGTAAATAGTATGCTTCGATTTGCATTCAAGCTCCATAGTTTTTTCTCTTGGTGTGGATAGCATTTTCCTTCATGAGAATTTTGGAGATGTCTTATATCTTTGCATTGCTGAGAAAAGCTAAGTCTATCAAAGTTAGTCCTCGCACAGCGCGGTTGTTACTGTGTACAACGTTCTCCTGGTTCTGCTCACTTCACTCAGCGTCAGTGCATACTAGTCTTTCCAGTCTTTTCTGAATTCTGCCTGCTCACCATTTCTTATGGAACAATAGTATTCCATTACATTCATATACCACAACTTGTTCAGCCATTCCCCAATTGACGGGCATCCCCTCGATTTCCAGTTCTTTGCCACCACAGAAAGAGCTGCTATAAATATTTTTGTACATGCGGGTCCTTTTCCTTTCATCAATTCTTATGATAATGTAGATTCCATAGGGAGTGCCCTAAGGGGACACCCCACCTTAACTTTCAATTCTTTTCTAACAAAGAGACCTGCTGCAATAAATACTTTTGTATAGAAAGGTTCTTTTCCTTTCTTTTATCTCTTTGGGGGTATACCTTAGTAATGGTATTGCTGAGTCAAAGAGTATGCGCTCACACAGTTTCATGACATTTTGGGGCATTTTGTCTGATGGGTGTGAGACAGGGCATCAGAGTTATCTTAGTTTGCCTTTCTCTAATCACTAGCTATTTTTTTGCGTTAAGCAAATATCTTGATTGTGTCATGTTACATTTTGTGCTTAAAGACAGTCATTGCCTTTTGGTTTCGTATGATTCTGGTAACCAAGATAGGTATAGACTGTAATTCTAGATCCAACTCTGTTCTTTGTCACTTACTTGTGGAATCTCATGGTGACTTGAAAAGAAAAAGAAATGGAGAAAAGCCCTAGGCCATTGAATTAATGGTTTTGATAAAGTATGCAAGTGAACAACCCACTCCCTAAGGATGTATTTACAAAATGTCAAAAAAACCAGTTGAAAGGAAAGAAAAATTCATTTAACCAGCAAGCTGCTTAAGCTACAGGATGTCTGACATGCAGCTTGACTGAATTTTCAAGTGAATTGACCCACTGGACTTCTTGTTTTTCTTTTATGAGGATACAAACTCAATTTGAGTTGGCTGTATAATAGAATGGTCTCCACCGTGCAAATAGTGAAACCTATTTATAACATTAATATTGAGAGTGGGGAGACAAGGGGAATAGGAGACAAGACTAGTATCTACAAAATGAGCTCACCATGTTGTATCAGATGTTTGTTGTAAGTATGGGTAGGACTGGGTTTAGGGAACGTTTGGCCTAGGACCTGTCCAAAACTGTATTCTGACAAGCCATGATATGATTAGATTAAATTATTATCTCCTTTTGCAGATTTTGGTGGAGTTCAGGTGTTGGCAACAGGAAAATCGACTGGTGTGGAAATAGGTAGGTCCCTGCCCCAGGTGTTTTTGTTATCAGTGGGAAACAAGGATGGGAAAAATGAAAGCAAATGCTGAAATCATAGTGAAACAAACACAGTGGAGTGGTTTTGGGTTTATTTCCCCCAAATAAGCACAAATTATATCATGAATTTAAGGATGTAATCTGTGATCTGAAATATAGGGGAAAAAAAGATTTTGGGAAATATTACTGAGAATGATACAGCTTAGAAACTTCAGGTGCTGGTTGCTACTCAGGTAAGGGTTGGAGTGAAGACGGGGAAAGCTGTTTATTAGGAGTCATCACTGTCTCTGCCCTATCCCATCCTCTCTGGCTTGAGTAAAAATGTGAGCTCCTGGTGCAGAGACTACTAGCTTTTGTCTTTGTAGCCCAAGTTATCCAATGTAGTTCTTTGCATGAATTGAGTACTTGACATGTTTGTTTAATTGAATCTGTGCCTTTGTTTACCCCAGTTTCCATGTCCATTGTTATAGATATTGAAATCCTTCCCTTCCTTCAGGATCTTGTTTAGATATCACTTCCTCTTTATGTCTTCCCGAATGTCTCTCAGTCCCATCTGAAAGTGATCCCTCCCTCCTCAGATTTTTAATAAAGCTCTGTATAAGCCTCTCCTTTGAGCATGGTTATTTGTATACATGTCTCATCCCTTACTAAATTGTAAGCTATTTGAAGACGGGAGCTTTTGTTTGCCATCTTTGCATTCCCAGGGCCTAACAGCGCTCTGTAGGTAGTAGGTATAAAATACATGTTTATTTTTAATTTGAGAGGATATCTTTTTGCTTTAACATCTTTTCAAAGCCCAATGCACCATTCCATTCTTTATTCCTAGTAGAACAGATTTTATGTTTACCTGTCTCTCGATTTTTGCCCATGGGGCATTGGGCCTAGACAGTGGAGGAAGGCAAGGGGGAACATAAGGGATGTATAAAGGAAAGCTGCTAGATAAATAATTGCAAGTCATCAGGATACCAAAGAACTGAGGGAAAACGACTAACGTGCTTCTAAGTTTGCTTGAAAAGACTAAAAGGGCAAAGGGGCATTGGTTGTCTAGAGAAAAGTTCCGAGCCCCACAAAGCTGGTACTTGTAGTTTTGCTTGCTCTCCGACGCTACTTTCTAGAGAGGCTCAGCTTCCAGATTCTCCTTTTCCCTCAACAATGGCCAAAAACAATCACCCCCACTGAAACAGAGAGATGCATTGAGTCCACGATAGCTGTTTTCCAGAAGTATGCTGGTCGGGAGATAACTAATTCCCTAAACACCCTCTCCAAGACTGAGTTCCTGGCCTTTATGAATTCAGAGCTGGCTTCTTTCACACAGAACCAGGACCCCAGTATTCTGGACCAAATGATGAAGAAACTGGACCTCAACTGTGACGGGGAGTTAGACTTTCAAGAATTTCTGAATCTAACTGGGGGCTTGGCACAGGCTTGCCATGCCTCTTTCACAGCATCTTGCCAGCCTGTCAAGAAAATATGAATGGGCCTTCCAGCCAATTTTCCAAATACATCCTTCCTCCAAACCAGCAAATGTACGCCCATTCCTCATAGTCACACACCGAACCCTAAGAAGCCAAGGCTACAATACTAGCCATTCACTTCGTAGCAACAAAATGTGATTTGAAAAACAGACACACAATTGGAAAAAAAAAAGACTAAAAGGAATAATAATAATAGCCAAGATCTATATAGTGCTTTAATATAGTATCTCTTTTGATCTTCCTGACAGTCCTGTGAAGTAGATGTTGTTAATGTCCCCATTCTACAGATGGGAAGAAACTGAGACTGAAACACACTAAATCTTTAACCAGGAGTCAAACAGCTAGTAAGCTAGTAAGCAAAATCTGAACTGAGACTTTCCTGATTCCAAGAACAACATTCTATCCACTACACAACCTCATTGCTTGAAAGGAGTCATTTGAATGATAGGAAGAGAAGATGTACTGGTCATATGGCAATGATCATATGAGGGGTGACAAGTGGGACAGAGTATTCTACTGGTACTCTCTTAACATTAGAGAAAGTGAAGGGTACACATTCTGTCAAGGGAGACAATGTGTGTGTAAATAAAATGTGTATATATATATATAAATTACGTATTATATATAGCATACCACATACATATATACAAATGCACATATGCATATGTATAAATTATATATTGTACTTTTACAGATTTTCAATTAACTATATGAAGACATACATATGTGTATATCTATATGTACACATATACGTATCTATATGTACACATATATGTATCTATATGTACATATGTGTATACATAGTTTCCATGAACAGAATGTGCAGTCCACAAGAGCTGGAACTGTTTCAGCTTTTGCCCTTGTATTCCCAGTACCAAGTGGAGTGCCTAGCATATAGTAGGCACTTAGTACTTATTGATTGGTAGATTGATTGAAAAATTGGTAGGATACAGTGAGGCCATACTATGAAGGGTCTTGACAATATCATACTAAGGAATTTGGTCTTTCGCTTGTTGACCATGGGAACCATTGACAGATTTTAGACAAGGTTTAATGGGTTAATAGCAATTCTGAGCAGTCTTTTTATTTTCTATTTTCAGATATCAAATACGCCGTCATTGGAACTATACTGGGAATTATTATCTCTGTTGGTTTTCTAGCACTGAAGATCTGTATGATCAGAAAACATATGTTTGACAATGATTCCTCAGGTAAGAAAAAGACAAGCTTTTGTTTTACTCAAGGGAGAGTTTCTCTGTTGCATCCCCACAGTGGTTCTCTGTTCTATAACTGTATCTTTGTAAGAAGAGAATGTGGGAACCATTTGATTTTAGGGGAAGTATTTCCTCCAAGGTCTCCTTTCAATGAGCTTTCCCTATTTCAAAACTGTTTTGGCTTAGTGTCCCCAAAAATCTTCTGGGGACACAATATTGTTCTCTTTAGAGTTAAATCTAGAGTGAAAATCAGAGAACTTCTTCTTCAAGAGCCAACCCCTACCTGAAGCATATCACTGTTCTACAATGTCCATATCAAGGGTCAATCTACCTTCTGCTTAAATAGCTCCAGCGGTGGAGAATTCATTACCTTACAGGCAGTTTACATTGTTTTCAGACAGTTATAATTATTCAGTCATTTTTCCTTATTTTGAGTGGAAATCTATCTTCCTATAATTTTGGTTCTAGTTCTATTTGCTGAGGGCAAACAGATTAAAGTTAATATCTTTCCCACGTGACAGTCTTTCAAATTCTAGAAAATAAATATCCTCCCCCTCTTCCCAAATCTTTTATTTTAGGCTAAACATCCCCAGGCCATTCCAATTCATCCTCCTATGATATGGTTAAAAAGTCTACCTTGCCATCCTTGTCATCCACCCGCCACAACCAAGTAGTACTCTTTTCTCCCCATTTTCACCCAGTCAAAGGTCACCTTTGCACCCATAAGGCTATCGACTGATCACATGGTTTGGATGTGAGTCAACAAGTCAATTCATTCTTGTGAGATGTGGAATCACCAAGCCTTATCTGTCCTGCAGATCCTTCCCCACCCCCATAATTGGACCTAATGACTAATCTAAGGACTACTGAGCCTTACAATCTGCCCTGCCACTGACCCCTAAGGTCTTTCTGGATATACTCCCTACCATTTATGCCCTGCAGACCCCTCCCCCACTGTCATTGGACTTATTTAAGTATTTTATTTTGTTTATTTTTGGCTAGGCAGTGGGGTTAAGTGACTTGCTTATGGTCACACAGCTAGTGAGTGTTGTGTGTCTGAGGCCGCATTTGAACTCAGGTCCTCCTGAATCCAGGACTGGTACTCTATCCACTGTATCACCTACCTGTCCCTAATTTAAGTAATTTAAAGACCCCTGGTATTTACCATCTGCTCCTTTGAATAACTTCTAGAAATTCTGGGCTTTTTCTATCCATCTTGGAGCTGAACTTTCTTTACTGTGCCTGGGTTCCCGGATTAGACTGTGAAATCCTTAACAGCACAAATGTTCTAGCCTTTTCTATTTGTACTCCTAGGACTTGGTGCTTGGCAGATATTAAACATTTAATCAATAATCTTTCATCCATCCATCCATCCATTCATCCATTCAACCCCCTATGGATATGCTTCAGCTTTTCAATGTCCTTCTTAAAATGTGATACTCCAAATTGAATACAGTGCTCAAAAATCACTCTTACGTTCTCATCCCTGTCATCTCATAGATCCTCCGCAGAAAGTCCACTCAGTGTAGAAGGTGGACTCTAGGTGTGATTTCTTGTCTCTGGGTCTTTTAACCTTTAATGGGGTACCAGTGGAGCAATGATACCATATCTGTTTGCTTTGCTCTTCATATATGACTGATAGACCTCTGTTTTGAGTCATATATCTCTGTGATGTTTTATTTTTTTTAAAGTTTAAGTATTTATTTAAAATAATTTAATTTTTTGGTTATTTTGAATTTGAAAAATATCAAAAATATGTGAAAGCATTATTACATATAAAGAATAGAAAAGGATGATTATATGTGAAACCATGAATCTGTATTATGTGTAGCTTGTTTTTGAAAAATAATAAATTTAACACATTAGTTTTAAAGTTTCCTATATCCTATCTGTCTCCCTCTGAACTTCCTTCTGTTTCCTTCTCTGCACTCTAAAAATGCTGCAATAATATTCTTTTCCTTCCTTCCCTCCTCCTTCTCCTTCTTCCTTCTCTTTTTCTCCCCCTCCTCTTCTTCTTCCTCCTCACTATCACTAGCTCCTTGAGAATTTTTTACTGTACTTTTTGTGGACAACTCATTGTTGATAATATCAGCAGCCTATTTAAATTGACCCTGCCTTACCCCATTGACCTTTGGGTGACCCACAATTTTGGCTATTCAGAACTGATATTCAATTATCTACAGTCATGTGGCAACATCAGAAGCTTAGGATTCATTGAAAAGGCTGTGGGATTTTCCAAATGCAATCCAGTCCGTTATCTTTTCCTTCTGTTTCATTTTGGGTTCAGCTCAGTGTCCACCTTCAATATCTGCCTAAGGTGTAAGTTCCTTGAGGGCAAAGACTGTTTTAGTTTCTTTGTTTTGCTTTCCTGTATAGTCACAGAGTCTACCACATAGTAGCAATAGGTATCAGATGTGTGATTTCATTGATATAGGGAACCAGTGCATCTCATGGCCATAGCCTTAGCCTGGCACAATAGAGATTCAGTCATTTGCCCAGGGCCAGTATATGATAGAGGTGTGACTTAAGTTTAGGACTGGTGACTAGCTCTCTATCCTTTATATCACACTCTCTCGGCCCATAGTAAGCCTTGAATAACCACTTTTAATTGATTGATGGATGGACTAGCTCAATGGGCATACAACTTCAGGTCTTAGTCTACATCAGATTGTAACTTTTTATGTGTCCTGGACCTATTTGGCTATATCGAAGGCTATGGACCCCTTTTCAGAGTAACATTTTTTAAATGCATCAAATAAAATAGATAGAATTACAAAGGAAACCAGTTATACTGAAATTCAGTTATCAAAACACTTTTCCAAAACAGTTCAACAGACTCCAGTTAAGAACATGTGGTCTAGGTAATAGACATTCTTTATCTGCTTAGTATTGTCTTGGTGATTTGTTAGATGAAACTCTTTTGAGTGGTTGTAAATCTCATTTCAGAGTCTCTTTACTTTTCTAGGACTTCATAAAATCAGCACAATGTTATCTGCAAACAGGAATGTTGGGAATACTACACTCTATAGAGGGACTATCTTTAATTTGGAATCTGCACTGGATATGCTTTATTATAGAGGCAAACACTTTTGGCAGGCAGGTTTTTCTGTCTTCTTTTTCTATCTCATTTCTGTTTATCAGAATATGGTTGAATAGAGTTATGTCTAATATTACATTTGTCAAGGAATCCTGAATGGCCTTAACCTATACACAGGAGGGAAGAACCTTGCTGGAACAGAGTGGAAAAGACTACATCTTCCTCCACTAAATTGAATGCTTTTAAAATCAACATAATGGACATAAAATAATGTGCATAATTGGTTAATATATATTCTGCATATTTCAATCATTTGCGTTAAGGTCTGTGATCTGCTGTAAAACACTATCTGCAAAAGGCTTTTTGTTCTCATCATCAAGGATGCCCTTGATATATGAACATTCTCAAAAACATCTTATAAGGGTGAGAAAGTAAATGTGAAGTAGTAGTTCTTGATGTGCTCTCAAATTCCTCTTTCAGTAGTGATACCATCTTTCTTCCTTTCAGATATCTTGAGAATGAGCCCTCAATATGTGAAAAATTGTGGTACCTCCAGCACAGACCTCTTCAGTACATGCTTTATTTGGTCCAGATGCTCTTCCCAACATTCTTTTCTCTGTTGCCCCTTCTGCTTACCCAACAGCACACGGAATACTCTACCGTTAAAATCCAAACATGATGGCCTGATTGTCAATGATGGAGAGAAACATCAGCTGTAAAGATATTAATAATTTTTCCATCTTTTTTTATTTGTTGCTCTTTTTTCAGTTCCATCTTTAAATGCTTTCTAGATGATCTTGCTTAACTGCAAACTTTCTGCAAACCTACTTTTTTTTCTCCATTGCTTTTCACTAAGTAAGTCATTCAGCTTCTTCTCAGTGCCTCCCTCAGGTAATTTGGCAAGAATCTACATTGCAGAGAAGGTGCTAGTCTGCATTAATAGAGAAAGTTCCTCACTAGGAGCTCTCTGCACTGATGATATAATAATTTCAGTCAAAATTTTTCTCTTTCTCTAAATAGATAGAATTTACACATGTACATGTATATACATATGTATGTACATGTATATAAGTAGGTGTGTAAGTACATGTATATACATACACACACACACATATATATAATATATATATACATGTACATATATGTACAAAAGATATTTACATCTACATCTATCTATATATGCTTGAAAACATTTTGAAGGAGGGGGTATTTTACCTCTTGCTTTGACACATTTTCCCATATAGGAAAATATATGGAGAATCCAAGCCAGTGTCATAAAAAGGAAGCCAAAAGAACCTAAAAGTCACCATGGCCAGCAAATACTTTATATTCTTGATAAGTGGAAAGCTGTGGTGGCCAAAGGCAAAACTGATTTAGAATATAAGCTTATTTGTAAAAACTTACAGAGGAGGATGGCAGGAAATCATGAGACAGAATTGGCTCATAAATCAGTAAGAAGCGATGAAGAGAAAAATCAAGTTTGCAGTTAAGCAAGATCATCCAAACAGCTATGTCTGTGTCTGTGTCTATTTGTGCCTATGTCCATGTCCATGTGCATGTCCATGTCCATATCCATATCCATAGCCATATCTATATCCATGTCCATGTTCATGTCCATGTCCATTTCTTTGTCTGCATCTATATCTTTGTCTATGTCTGGCACTATGATTTCTTCAGTGAGGGGTACTCCTAGTACAGAAACTTCCTGCACTAATACAGATCAGCATCTGCTCTGTAATTTATAATTTTAGAGATTTCTAGGGTACTGAGAGGTTCAGTAACTTGCCTATGGTCATGGCTGGTCTGTGTCAGAGGCAGGACTTGAATCCAAGTCTTTCTGATTCCAACACTAGTGAGCCCTCTATCCACTAGGTCACACTGCCTCTTTGGTTTTATTAAGAGTGAGATAACACTGTAATTCAGCTGGCACGTGGAAAATATTATATTTTATAATCCCAGGTGCTTCTAAGTAGGTTTATAATCTTGTACAACAAAACACTGATTTTCACTCCTTTTTAAAGATTCTCAACATTACAGTTTATGCAATTGTATTCAATTACATAATGAAAAAATGATATATCTTTTTAAAAATGTGATCATGAAAATGTGGATGGAAGAGAATTATCACATCTCTGGAAAATGAGACTATTGCATGTTTGAAACAAAGAGGAAGAGTCCTAGTACCTGAGCAGACCTAAGCTGCTCTGCTACTTTGATACATCTCCTTGATCCATTTGCATATCTAAATTCATGTGGAACATGATTTGTCATAATTGCACAAGGAATTAACTATTGATTTTGCATCTACATATATAAAGGGAGAGCAAAACAACTTCTTCATCACATACATACCAAATTAGATGCTTTAAATGAAAGAGGGGAGGGAAAAAATGGAGGGGAAAAATAGAATGAGAGCAAATAGTATGGTCTTGGCTTTCAAAAATTCCAAAATCTTACCTCTGACAACCAGGCTATGGAATTTAGATCCTGAAATTTATCAACACAATCATCACCAAATCCAACAGGCAGGAGATAACAAGCCATCTGATACTTCCTCTTCCACTTTCTTATGCCTCCACACCTGTTCCATCCTCCTCTCCACCCCAAGGACCCTTTTCAGAGTAGTTAAATTCCAGAATTCTCCAATCTCCACATCCCACTCAACTTTTCATTTCCATAACAGTGAGCACTGGCCTCAAGAGACTCTCTGCAGACTGAGAAAGAATTGTGATGCAAATTGTAGATGCTGCTTATCTGATGCCTTATAACCCTCTTTTCAGATGCAACCAGCCGAAGAAAGAGCAACGTAAGGTAAGGGTTCCTTCTAGCTTTTGCCTTTTAAGGTGTTTTCCTCATCCTTGTACTTCCGGTCAAAGAAACCACAGATTAAATTCTACTAGGGGTGGAATCCTGCTGATCTGTGAAATCCGACCTGGATTCATCAGGGAAGCAAACACCTGGCCTGGCCAGAACCTCCATTAAAATGGTGCCTTTTGTTTGTACTTACTACATGTCTGACCTTGGACAAGCAACGTCTTGGGGCCTCAATTTCCTCATTACATGAAGGGATTGGACTACATGGCCTCTATGATATTCCTTCCAGATCTATGATAAAAATAGTTAACATTTATATGGCACTTGAAGGTACACAAAACACTTTCTATGCTGTCTCATTTGAGCCTAAGAAGTAGATGATATCATTATGTTCATTTGAAAGGTGAGAAAACTAAGGCCAACAGAGATTCAGTGACTCAGGGTCACACAGCTAGGCAGGATTTGAACTTTGGTCTTCCTGCCATCACTCTAACCATTGTGCCATCTGGCCTCCCATTATCTCAAATCTTTCCACTAATGTTCTACTCAATGTCTCATCATAGCGAGATGGTGTTGGGTTGTCAAAGGCTTTGCTGCAGAGAAGCAGCTTTGATATGCCCTAACATACTGGGAAGGCTTTGAATATTGGTCCATTGACCAGTCTACCACTTAGCCTCTGAGGAACAGCTCAGCTAAGTTTGAAGAAGTTCACCCTCAGATTGGATGCAAGGAGAATGTGTTTTTCAGCTACAGCAAGTTTCAAAAGCCACCTGCCAAGTCATAAAAGAGTTGCCCTCTGCCTCGGGAGAGGGAGGGCCCACATTGGTGAAACAACCTACTTGACTCATTGAAGATGTATTTCCCAGGCCTTTTACTCTAGACTCTTTCAATCTCTCTGTATGAATAGAACTATTATTCCTTGAGCAGGCAGGTGAAGAGAAGAGGGCACCTGCTTAGGATAATCTAAGATAGGTTCAGAAATCAAGATCCTCCTTCTCTAGCCTGTTCCATAGCCCCCCTCTAACCAGAACAATAAAGCTGTTTCATCACGGATGGTGTAATCAGGCCCTTGCAGGAAAGGAGGAGCTCTATAGCTTTCATCAACTTATGTCCCTCCGTTGTCCATTACCTTGTCTGTGAAGATGCCTCTATTTCTTTTGCAAGATACAGTAGATTGGGTACTAGGTTTCGAATCCAGAAGACCTGGGTTCAAATCCTACATCAGATACTTACTGTGTGACCCTGGGCAAATCACTTAGGCTCTCTGGGCCTCCATTTTCCTAAACTATAAAGTGAGGGGGTTGAAATTGATGACCTCAACGGTCCTTTCCTGCTCTAATCCCATTATCTTGTATCCATTCCCATTGCTTAGATCTCTAGACACAAAATAGATTCAATAAATGTTTATTGACCAAAGTTTGATAGATTTTAGTTAGGTAAGCATGAGGAGAGGAATTCTAGAGAGAATTCTTGTCTTGGGTTGAGTGTGGGCTTGGTGACTTGGGAGTTTCTTTCCAACTCCCAATCTACAATTCTATGAATCATCCTTTCATTGTTTGGTTCTGGGGCTGGAAGATGAGCAGGGAGCCAATTTTGGCATCATCTCATGGAATTTTCAGAGGTTTTAGAAATTCATAGCTGCACCTCTACTTTCTAGTATAAATGCTATGGCACCACACTCTCTCATTTTCACCTAATTTCCTCCTGGAATACTGTGGCAATATTGCAGGAAGCAAAACTTCCCTAGACATGAAGAACCAATATTCGTGGCCATATTCCTGTCTGACTCTGAACAAAAGCTCCACGGCTCCCCAGTGGGAAGCCCAGGAAAATATCTTTCCACTCTGCAGGTGGCACCTGCTGCCTTACAATGTTGCTCAGTGCCTTCTATTGGCTCTGGGATCATTCTTGGGAATTCTTTCATTGGCTTCTCACCCTGAACTAATTTTTGGTTCTAAGGATCTAGGGCACCTTTAACAGACAAGCAGAGTGGTAACTAGAGATTTTAGCACCTGGGGCAAAGTGCCCTGAAACCAGCTCTGTAATTCATGTTCTGAAAATAATACAAGAGATAACTAAGGCAAATTTAGTTAATGGGCAGAGTTTGTGTGGAGACAGCAATGCCAGACCTTGGGGATTGATATCCCAGAGCTCTACAAGACTGTAACTGAGGGGAAGAAGCAGAGTGAAGTAGCCTGGGGAAGAACTCATCTGGACTATGACCGTATGGGGGAGAAAGTGCATGATTTGGAAGCTTCCGACTTTCACTGATTATTCTTGGTCACTAGGTACAAAGCTCAGTTGTTTCTATATTGCTGAAGGAGCAAAAGTGCTCCAAAATGTAGCCACAACAAATGTTTAAAATGCTCATTATTTAAAATTTTTGCACTTTCTAAATTGTGGTACCTGAGGAAAAGTTCTGGTTATCCCACCCTAGTTTTTCTTCTGCAAATAAGCATACAGGTACACAACACAATATATATGCATATGTACACAATACATATGTGTATGTACATATATATGTATATATATGTATATATATGAGACAAAGGGAGAGAGAGTAGTCTGGGAATATGGATACACATACACATGCACATATACATACATGTATATAAGTGTGTGTATATATACATGCGTATATATATATTTGTATATGTGTACGTACACACATATATGCATATTTCTTGTGCCATCAAGTAACTCCCTCACTCTAGCCCCCTACCCCTAGCAAAGATAGTAATCTTTTTTGGGAATATATATCCACATACATATATACACATGTGTATACAGACATATGGCGCAGTAGATAGAGCTGGTCCTAGAGTTAGGAAGACTCCTTCCTGAGTTCAAATCTGACCTCAGACATTTACTAGCTGTGTGATCCTGGGCAAGTCATTTAACCTTGTTTGCCTCCGTTTTTCATCTGTAAAATGAGCTGTGGAAGGAAATGGCAGAGATACTCCAGTATCTCTGCCAAGAAAACCCCAAATGGAGTCATGAAGAGTCAAACATGACTGAAAACAATTGAAGAACAACCACAACGTATATGTGTCTGTTCCCAAAGACTACTCTCTCTGCTGGGTGGGTGGGTGGGAGAGTCATTTGATGGAACAATCAAGTTCTATGTAGAAATGTTAGTCACTGAATAAGAGCAGCTGAGCATGGCTGAAGTTGTGTCTCAACTATCAATGAGCTTGGAGGCTTTGGACAAGTCCTTTCTTTCCCTTGTCTTCCTCTGATTCTTTGTTCCACATAAGCTCAATAGCAGCATTTCTCTTTGTCAGGGGAAAGCTGTGAACATGAGGCAATTCTCACAAATGAATTTAGATTAATTGTTTGAAAAACTCTAAACTTCAGCATGCTATTCTCTTTAGACACCTGGATGATGCAGAGAGGACACAGGTGTGGGGGCGGATTTCCACAATTCTTCAGGGAGAGCTCTGTAGACAGCAACTGGTCTCATCTTGCAATATTTTATGTCCTGGATTCAGGTGTTGGTTCTGCCTCTGTTGTTTCTTCTCTTCCGCCTCCTTTCTGGCTGCACAGCGCCCCTTCTCCTAATTGCCTGGCTAGCCAACTCTTGACATTCTCCAGGCACCGGGCTCCAGCTGCCAAGGGATAAGTAGACCAGAAGAGACCTCCCCATCCGATGTCTCCATACACTTGGCCAACGCCTCACTTTCCCCCTCAGGCAGATGTCAAAATGAGGCCAATGTCTCTTGCAGATTCTGGCAGGGGAGCTCCATCACCCCACCCCCCACTTTGGGAATATTTTTCCGGGTCATTAGGCTATATTTCTATAGTTAGCTAAGTATCGTTTCAGTGTCCTGACTGCTGACATAAAAGAAAAGCTACTGGTTTTGGAGTCAGAGGACACGAGTTCAAATCTCCTGTACAATTTGCTATTTATGTGACCACAAGCAATTCACTCCACTCTTCTGTTCATAATTCCCCTCATTTGTAAAATGAGAGAGTTGTACTTAATGGCCTCTAACGTCCCATCCAAATCTAAATACATGATTATGTCATTTGCTTCATGTATTTACTTCATGCCTACAGGGAAGTGTCAGGCAGTCTTAGCCACACAGGCTTTGGGTTTCCCCTCTGAGACGACCTGCCCCTTCCACTATACATATCTTGTATGTATATAATTGTTTGGATGTTGCCTCTTCTATTAGATTGAGCTCCTTGAGGGCAGAGACCATACTTTTGCCTTTTTTTCCCCCAGTACTTTCATACAGTAAGTGCTTAATAAATGCCTTTTGTTGGTGATGATAGACCTGGTTCTGACATTGTACTGAAAATTGGTTGGATACCATTTCTCCCTTTCTTCAGGGGGGCCAGAATGTTAAGAGAATTAGGTTGAGCCTGGAAGGATAGAAGGCTTTTTCTTCGTTAATTCAACTCAACAAATATTTCTCAAGGGCCTATGATGCACATTAATTATGTGTTAGGTGCTGGGGATATGAAGATAAAAGTGGAGTCACCTTTGTCCATGAGGGTGGTAATAGTGACCTAGAGATGCAAAGTGTGAATAGGTAAGTCAATGTGAGTTCATTTGAGAAGGCAGAACTTCCAGTGTGAGGGAGATGTCATGAGAACTGAACTTCAAAGGATAAGGACTCTAAGAGGGAATAAGGATGGAGTGAATTGGAGACATGGGGGTGGTGGTGGTGATGGTGCAATCTGTGAAAATGCTTAGAGGAAGTAGAAAGACCATCTGTAGGCCAGTTGGGTTGGAATGGACAGTAGGTCTTTAGTCTTTTTTAGTGTAGTGATAATCATGCTTGTCTAGAGCTTTTAAATTTTAACTTTGTGTGAGATAGACAGGTCAGGCACTGCTTCCAGGCCTCATGCTTCCATAAACCAGTTGTGTCATTTGAAGCAGCCTCTATGGCCTTCAGTTTCCTCATCTGCAGGAGGAGGGGGCTGCCGGCTCTACCCTTTCTATGAGTCTCTTGCTCTTTATTATCCCCATTTTGCAGAGGAGGAAAACT